CAGCGGTTCTCAATTCCAGTCCTCGCGTACCCCCGCTCTGCATGTTTTGCATGTCTCTCTTTGTTAACACACCTGATTCAGATCATCATTTCGTTAGAAGTGAGCTCCGTGCATGAACTGTGTTCCCATTGACATGGTCCCTACACAGTGTCCATTGCTCTCTACTCCCTGAGCAGGAGAAATTCGTTGAAGTTTACTTCACTTCGGAATATTCATTTACAGATTTGCGCATGTCTTCACACACATACGAAACTTACTAGAGAAGTGGGACATAATATACCTCTGTAAATAAATACAATTTAAACTCACGTCTCGTACACTTAAATGCCCTTTGTATGGAACATATACGCTCCCTTCAAACTTGAATCATGGCGGAATATCCGGTAATGTCCACTTCGCAGGGCACTTACAGTCAAATATAACAAACGTCTGAAGCAATAAGAGAAACATACAAAATGTGCAGAGCGGGGGTACGCGAGGACTTTGATTTGAGAACCGCTGGTCTGTGACGGGACCTGTTGCAGTGTTAATTGTGAACACTAGATGGTGACATTGTGTCATCTTCAGTTAACAACTAACAGGACACAACTATTGTAGTGCCAGTTCATGTAATAAATTGTTAAAATTATTAGTAAATGTCTCAAAAATGGGGCTAAAACCCACCTAATATATACATATACAGCGGGTAAAATAAGTATTGAACACACCACCAATTTCCCCAGTTAATATATTTCTAAAGGTGCTGTAGACATGAAATTTTCACCAGATGTCGGTAACAATCCAAGTAATCCATACATACAAATAAAACAAAACTTTCAAAAAAGTTCAGAAATTAAGCTATGTGTATTAAAATGGAATGACACAGGGAAAAAATATTGAAAGACTGAAATTGATTTAATACCTTGTACAAAAGCCTTTGTTGGTAATGACAGCTTCAAGACGCCTCCTGTATGGAGAAACTAGTCGCATGCATTGCTCAGGTGTGATTTTGGCCCATTCTTCCACAGAGTCTTCAAATCTTGAAGGTTCTGTGGGCCTCTTCTATGAACTCTGATCTTTAGTTCTTATTTTCTATTGGATTCAATTCAGGTGATTGTCTGGGCCATTCTAGCAGCTTTATTTTCTTTCACTGAAACCAACTGAGTTTCCTTGGCTGTGTTTGGGATCATTGTCTTGCTGAAATGTCCACTCGTTTCATCTTCATCATCCTGGTACTGTAGATGTTGGGACTGAATCAGCTAATATTAATTTCTGCTTACTAGGGGCAGGATTGCTTTCTAATTACTGATAGATTTCAGCTGGTGTCTTGGCTTTCCAAGCCTTTTTGCACCTCCCTTTCTTCATGTGTTCAATACTTTTTCCCTGTGTCATTCCATTGTATTACACAACTTCATTTCTGAACTTACTTGTTTTGTTTTCTTTGTATGTATGGATTACTTGGGTTGTTAGTGACATCTGGTGAAACTTTATGTCAACAACAACCTTTAGAAATATATTTACTGAGAAAAATGGTGACGTGTTCAATATTTATTTTACCCGCTGTATGTGTATGTGTATATATATATATATGTCTAGTGTAGAAATACTGTGAGTTTACAAATAAAGTGAGTTGTTCACATACACAAATACTTTTAATGTAGCAAAATGATTTTGGTGGGGTAAGTTACCCTGTGTATCAGATAAAATTATATTAAAGTCGGAAACAAAAGTATAAAAAAATAACACATGAAAAGAAATGAGGAGACCGTTTAATAAATTCTGTTCATTTTTAATATAAATTTTTATTTGAAAAATATAAATTCTAAGATAATTTCAGCTGTTTTGTTCTAAAAATTCACAAAACTTGATTAAAAATTTATCTTTGTTACACACTCTACAATTAATATTTAGCATTGTTTAAACGTTCAAGAATTTCCCCAGACATGCTTTCACATATATTTCATCTTTAGGTACCCCCAAAAATATAAGTTAATAATCTTTTACATACAAGGTTAAAAGCAGTTGATTTTGAAAATACAGTATGGATGCTACCTGTATAGATCTATTGATTTTTTTTTTTTTTTTTGAGAGAACAGAAAAAATAATGACAAATTAGCAGGAATCAACAAAAGATACTGAGTTCTTGAAAGATCAAAGAGATCGTTTAGGACATGTACTGTATGACAGCACTAATGTCATCATTCAAATGCATGTACCACATTGTTGACATTTTCGGACTCATTTTTACAAATGACAACTTGCAATATGACATTCAGTGGCTATAGACATCAAGTAAATAAAGCACAAATAAAAAAAAGTGATCTGAATTACATGAGACAATCTTAAAACTAAAGGAATTTCATGTATTATTGCAATTCAGGTTTAAGCCACTTAGGTAAATCATTTGCAGGACAGCAGACCCTGGAGTACATGTAGGTTTACATATGTAGACTTTTTAGGGTTTCCATAACCAGGTGGATGAAGCAAATGCCTAACAAGACTTGAAACCCTAAATGAATTATTAGGCTTTCTTAATTAATCAAGCTTTTTAGAACGTGTCTGGATAATTAGGCATAAATATTGTTAAAGGAAACATATTAGATTTAATACCACATATTATAGGAAACAATATGAAAAATAGCAGGTTCAATGCCAATCAATAACATTAACCATCATTAAAAAGTTAATCAACAGTTAAATATTACAATATATTGTCACAGTTGTTCTCATCATAATACAAGTAATTTGTTGAAAAGTCTGCTCAAGATGTACATTAAAAAAAAATCTACATTAAGATCTCATGCTGTGCAAATAAAAAATGGAAAAAGGTTTTTTTTTTACATCATGCCTACCATGTAAAACAGAGGTAGAGCAGCAAAAAATAAAGGAAAAGGAAAGATAGTGTCATGTTAAGTGAATTTGGTAGAACGACTTATATTGCATTGGATGAATAATGGAGAGAGTAGTTTAAAAAGTGTAAAAACAGCTACAGCATTTCTCTACAGCTCAACACACAAGTCAAACAATGAACTGAATTGCATAATAGTTTAGGGATTACAACTTGCAAACCGTAGTGATTAAGTGAGTGAGAGACAAGTCTTCACAAAAAGGATCCGTGATGAGGGACAGTCTTTATAAAAGATCCCTTGGCAAATGGCTTTCTGCAAATTGGAAGAGCTAATAAAATCTATGTAGCAGTTTGGAGGAGTTATATGGACGTCTCAGACCCTCGACTCCTCCAGTAGTAGCCATTGTTGTCATCTGGGTCCATATCTATTTTGATCTGAGGCACATTTAATGGCAGTCTCTGAACTGAAGAAGACAGACTCAATCAGTCCACTTCTGAATAGGCATTCAATTTATTTCCCAGTAACTACCAAGAATTTCTTTGAAACTAACTTGTGGTTCAAAGAATTATTTGAACAACTAACAAAGGTAGGGGCATTATGTAATCACAAAGCCTTGACAAATTGTGATGTTGTTAGAAATTAAAGTGGCTTTTAGTTCCTGCAGCTTATTGTATTATAGAAATGTGCACCGCTGTTTATGACGTATGCAAAATCTGAACACAGATCCCATTATTTAAATTCACTGTGTAGCAATCCATCCATACTATAAATACATATTACTAACAACAGCTTGAGATGCGTACCTTGACATCGGGCTGGTCTGCAAGTAGTGGCGCTTTTCAGCACGACGCATATCGGTCAAGGAATGAAGGGGACTTTTCTCCTGCAAGAGGGACACATGGTCCATTATTAACACGTGTTTGGCTTCACGTTCTGCTGAACATGAGCACTATATACCACCTTCATGCAGTTTCATCATACAGGATCAACAGCACCAGCACGCTTTATACAGCAGATGCATGCAAAAAAGCCAAACACAATCACTGAAGACTAAAGACCTCCAATGATTTCATATCGAGTATGTGCTGGGATTTCATGGGATTATTTTTAATTAGCATTTTCATTAGATAATTACATCTTAATACAACTACGAATTAAGATGTTAAAAGTTTTAGTAGAAAAGAAAATAGAGACTTTGCTACAGCTTGTTACACACTAAAAAAAAAGATGAAAAAATTTATATTTTCTGTATTATTGTCAATCTCAATTATCATCCCTGAATCCATGTTAGCATGACACAAAAGATGGTTGAACAGTCCATGCAAAAATGAAAACGAGATTAAAATGTACTTCCCCTCATGCCATTGAAAATGTAGATGAGTGTTACTTCATTAAAACAGATTAGGAAAAATGTTGTTTATCCCAAAAAAATTATATAATCACTTACATATCAAAGGGTCCTTTGCAATGATTGGGTGCCGTCAAAATGAGAGACTAAACAGCTGATAAAAACATCACAATAATCCACATGACTCCAGTCCATTAATTAATGTCTTGGGAAGTGAAAAGCTGCATGATTATAATAAACAAATCCATCATTAAGAAGTTTTTTTAACTTCAACCATTGCTTTTGGATAGAATATGCCACGAGTCCTCTATCCATGCTATTGCTTTATCCAGTAAAAAAAAATCAACTCATCTGAATCAGGAGAGAAATATACACAGATCAAGCACTGTTTACAAATGAAAACAGTCCAAAACAGTTGTATCTTGAGATTAGAGGATCACAAGGGATGGACTTTTTCACTGGATTAAGCATATGGATTATGGTCTGGTATTTTGTCCAGAAGTGATGGTTTAAATTTCAAATATCTTAAAGATTGATTTGATTCTTACAAAAAGGTTGCAGCCTTTCACTTTACAAAATGTTAAATGATGGACTAGAGTACTTATGAATTATTGTGATGTTTTTGTCAGTTTGAACTCTCATTCTGACGGCACCCATTTAATGCAGAGGATCCACTGGTGAGCAAGTGATGTAATGCTACATTTTCTCCCAATCTGTTCCGATGAAGAAACAAACTACATCTTGGATGGCCTGAGGGGGAGTACATTTTTACATTTGGATGAACTATTCCTTTAAGTTTAGAGTAACAGTTAACTAAAATTGCAAAAGTAAAGCAAAACGATTACGACAGGGCGAGAAAAGGTAATGAAGCTGTCAGTTACCACAGAGGACTGACAAACTCCACAGGCATTATGTGACAGAGAAGCAAGTGGTAGCATGCACCGCATATGAAAGGAAGAGAAAGCAAACTGCTCATGCGGAATCATTCAAGAGGTACAAATTGAGGTGAGGCCCCAGGTCCAGTCTACTCACTGTCAGAGGCCTTATCTCCTAAAAAAGGCTCCTGCTCCATCATGTCCATTGGGATTTTAATGCTGGGGACATTCTCATTGTAAGGATAGTCAGACTGCACAGGGAGAAACGGTCAAAAAGTGCTTTAGGAGCTGAACCAGATACACCAGAGTAGTTCACACTTCCTCTTTCACAGCCGCCTAAATTTTCATAGTATTAAAACTAAATGAAAAAAGGTTACAGAATATTTATAGCTGTCTGACAATCATGACTACCAAGTTTCTTCAGAGTGTGACTGAGGCTATTTTTTCCTCATCTTTTTGCTTTGTCATTGGTAATGTTTCAAGGAAAAAATCAAATGAAAAAAAAAACAATTAATCAATAAATGAATGAATAAACAAACAAAAAACATAAAGAAAGAAAGAAATAGTCTTTCAATCAATCATCAGAACATAATGTGTATCATACACAGGTATTAAATTATTTTATTAAAGGGCAACCAAGTAAACTTATTTCCAAAGCCCGAAGTCTTCTTAATACTAATATAAAGACATTTTTTCAGGACACTCACATCTTCCATGTCACTGTCTATGCTCCCTTGTTTCTTCTTTTTCTTTTTCTTCTCATCTTCCTTCTTCTTCTTATCCTTCTCGGGTATGACATCATCCAGGAAACTGAGGTCATGCTGGGAGAAGACATAGTCCAAGGCCTTCCTCACAGCAACCAGAGCCAAGATCTGACCAATGAGAATAGCAAATGGTGCTCTTTCAGTTAGTGCATATACTACAGATGCATTTTGCAAACATATTGGAACTTGAGTGTCTGTTAATATTATTGCTGACTGACAAACATCTAAACATTACCAACATTCTAGTGCAACATGCATTTTGTCCCTTTTCTAATGGGGTGCAATACGTAGCACAAGTACTATACCAGTTAACACTTTTGAATAATTCCGATTTTTTTTAATGCAGTCTTGGTGCATTATGCAGTCTTGGTGAGCAAAAGAAACTTCTTTCAAAAACATTAAAAAAAATCTTAAGTATTCCAACTTTTCGATGGCTTGTGTAATATTTAGCCTTGAAGCTCTCAGTTTTGCAGTCACAGCCGCTTCCAGTATTAATGTTCAGTATTAAATCAAGAACAGGTGAAAGAGGTGACTAACCATAACAGGAAAGACGATGGCAGCCACAGTGGACTTGAGGATCCAGAGGAGCGCCAGACAAAGCAGCTGGACGAAAGTGAAGAGATGGACCTTCCTCAGTGGCACATGCCGCAGGTAGATCAGGTCTGGTTGGTGTTTGGCAGGCATGAGGAGCAGCTTGAGTCGGTCCATAAACTGAGAACCAAAGAGCATTATTAAAAAAACGAAACAAAAAAAAACATACTTTTCCCAGCTAAGTTACTGTCAAATGATTTCAAATAGTGATTATTAAAATAATGTAATGTTTTTGTAAATATGATTATATCTATATTAATTGAATTCCACTTTCTTAAGCCTCGTACACACCGGGACGATTATCGCGTGCGCTTACCGCCGACGTTTTTCGACATGTCTTTTGTGTTCATACCCAAGCGATTTTCGCTGGCGATGAGCTGAGTGAATGTGCAAATTCACTCCCTGACATTAGATGGCGCTTAATGAAAAACAGAATAGAAATACCCCGGTACACATCGAATCCTATTTGATCTGCAATTCCTCTCCATAACAACTCCCTCTTATCGAGATTTTTGTAGTCGCTGTCGCGTTTGTCATAAAGCCCTTTGTGTTCAGACACCAATGAGACCAGCAGCTCTACATTCATCTTGCCTCGATGCATATTCTTGGTCTACTTACTTCCTCTTCATCGTTAGGTATCAATGTGTGCTCGGCAAGACCGTTTTGTGCTTGAGCGCCACCAAGTCATGTTTTACTGTAACTTCAGCAGCTCCAGGCACGTGAACAAAAGCGCCAATCTCATTGGTCGGCCAGTTTTTAACGTGGCGCGTCAAACCAAAAAAAACGAGCCCAAGGTGTTTTTTTTAAATACGCTTTTACGCCTCGCGTTTTGCGCGTCGGTGTGCACACTCACATTGGCGCCCTTTGTTTAGTCACGAGGCATTAAATGTCGGCAATAATCGCGCGCGATATTCGTCCCGGTGTGAACAAGTCTTCTGAAATTCTGTGTCCCAGAAATGTAATTTAAAAGGCTTTTTTTTTTCAATTCAGTTTTTAATAGCACAGAATTGTGTTGGTAACTCACCTGAACTCCGTTGAGTGAAGCCACTCCCATGTAGAGGAAGACTCCATACAGCACTGGCATGGGTATAAACTACAGGAAATAATTATTCAATTAGAACAGAAAAAGAAAATCACACACATGCAGCAATGTGTTTGATGCAACTGGATGTATTGTATAGTTACCTTGAGGATAGGAGACATGAAGACAGACAGACCAGTAAGGATGAAGACAAAGACACCAGTGACTCTCTGTTCCCTGAAGAGGAGACAATTACAAAAATTAAAAATAAATAAATAATAAAAATAATTAAAGTCTACCTATTATAATTTCAACTAATGACACTACATAGCCAAAAGTACACTACTGTTCAAAATGTTGGGGTTGGTAAGATGTTTTAATGTTTTGGAAATAAGTCTCTTATGATCACCAAGGCTGCATTTATTTTATCAACTATACAGTAAAAATGATAATATTGTGAAATATTACAAATAAAACAAATAAAACTTTTTTTTTTAAATATACTGTATTTTAAAATGTAATTTATTCCTGTGAAGTAAATCTGAATTTTCAGCAGCCATTACTCCAGTCTTCAGTGTCACATGATCCTTCTAATATGCTGATTTGCTTTGCAAGAAACAATTATGTGATACATTTTTCATCTTTAGGAGTCTTTGATGGATACAAAGTTCAAAAGAACAGCATTTATTTGAAACAAATTTGAAACAATTTGTAATTTTATATTATAAAATGTACTTTTAATCAATCTCATGTGTCCTTGCTGAATAAATGTATTAATTTCATTGAAAAAATGTTGAATGTTAGTGTATGTGGGGTTATTTGGCCAGGTTTGGCTATTTCAGCTGCACCCATGAATAACAGGTGCATACAGCAATAAAGCATATATCTGTACAATCTTCACAGACCAACAGACATTTAGTGTATCATTGTTTAAATTACAGGAAGAAGTCAACTGGCAGATGCTTTTATCCAAAGTTATTCCTCCTGGAGTGACTTGATCAGAGGCATAAAGGTGACTGTTTATAGATTTGAACCTGCAATCTTGCAGTCACCAGCTCGCATCTTTAACCACTAGACCCCACTTCTTTAATTACTACTAATAATTTCTAATTATAATATCAATTATCATTAATATCTGAAATATTTTGGAGAATTAAATCATATTGGATTGCTTAACCAAACCAGAGAAGCATTAAAAATACAACCTAAATATGGGCACAGTGTGTTTTCAGCAGAACTAGGCCTGTTTACATTTGTTCAGCTTACAGCTGCATCAATAAACCCCCTGGAGTTCAGTCCAACATGCAGCCTTTTAACAGGCGTCCCACTGAGCCCAACTCTGTAATCAACGAGTGATTCAAAAGCTCTATTGGCATAGACACTGTACAAATACATAGGAATCACCAAAAATCTTCTTTTATATGCATTAGAACGTACCTGACACCCAAAAATTTAGGCTGTTCACCAGGAGCGGATGTCTCTGTCTCCATTTTCAAGCTGTCAATGTGGGCGATGGAAATAACTGTAGCAGCTACATACCAGGGCAGACCCAAAAAAGAGCATACTGCTAACAGCACAGCTACCCAGAAGAGATCCAGATGATAGCCTGCACCTTTCTGATCAAGACAGAGAAAAGAGGTTGTTTACAAAATGCTATTGGAAGCATCAAAAACATTTTATCACTCATAACAGTGCTTGGTGACATTTTACAGGAATAGTTCACCCAGTAATTTTTTTCAGATTATTTACTCAGTCTCTCGAAGCTCTAAACCTGCATGCAGGTAAACAATGACTGAATTTTCATTTTTAGGTGAACTGTCCCTTTAAATAATCCATCAAGTGCTTTATTCTAACAAATAAAACTACTCTGCATCACACAAAAGTACAGTACAATATGTCACCAGGGCAGTGTAATTCTCACAGAGATGAGAATAGGAGTTCTTCCATGGGGAGGCATTATAGTGAGAGGACACAATGTTTTGAGGCCAGTCTCACGTTACACGCCAAAAAAGAATAAATGCTTTGCCTTTGTCTGATTCACAATTCCTTATTGTTCCACTGTTCAGAATCTGGACCAAAAGTGTGACGTTGGGGTGAAACTGCTTGGTGAAGCACTGAGTTTGAATTTAAAATGATTTAAATATAATATAGCCTTGTGTAGATTTCATGATTATCAACTAAACCTGTCTAGCTGTCATCTTACAAACTCAGTATATTAAAAAAATCAAACTGCTTATCCGTCAGTTTTCAATGTAATATCAAAAAAATAAAGAAATATCAATTGTCATCATCAAAACATCAATCTGTTTAAATAATGCTATTTTTGACTCCAAGTGCTGATTCACATCCGACCAGACAAAAGATAAAAAAGCTCTATTTGTAAGAGACTTTCTATAAATATCCGATATAGTTGCCCATGGCACTATGCGTGTTTCCTGTGGTCCTGGGCGGCTCAAAGTGAGCGTGATAAACCATCTGGCTCAGGAGAGAATCACACAGCAGAGTCACGGCAGGCCTACCTTCAGCTTGTGCTCCTTGCGATTGACAATGACAGCGGTGATCTGCTGATCCATGAAGAGCAGGATGGTCACCAGCAGGGCAGGCAGAGCTGCTGCCAGGTACACCCACCAGGGGTTCCCTCCGAAAGGTGGCACAAACCAGCCACGGTTTGGGCTTGTTGGCTGAGGACACGAGGGAAGTGCAGTTTAAGAATCACAGAAGTTTGCAGTCAGGGCACTTGGCAAATGTTTACAGGAAACGAATGGTAACATCCTGAGTGGATTGGCACTGACTCATACTGTGAATCTGAACTTAAGATGCGGCAAACAGGGAAAGGCCAGCCAATGTACCCTATGATATTTGTTTTCCTGAGCAAAATCTATTTCTATTAAGCAGACCCTCTGGCCACCTGAGTAGAAACACCCCATGTACCGACCCATGCAGTGTTCACTGTGCCAATACATTCGGTAGAACTAAATAACATCTAATTCAAGTTAATCTCTTGATTAGACTATCTGTCACATTATTCTATTTATACATTGAATAAAACTTTTTTTTAGATAACCACAGAAAAACACATTATAATGTAACTAATTATGTAAAGATAAGTTATGTCAATAAAGTTAGACAGAAATAAATTAATGCATGACCTCTGTGGGCTTCCATACTGTATGTTTGGAAAGCGTTCATAATTTAATTTGATATTTCTAGGATGTGGTTCTTGTCATGTGAATTAGAACTAGTAAGATTTTTTAATTTTTTGAAAGGAATTAATACTTTTATTTAGCAAGGATGCATTAAATTGATTAAGTGACATTTATAATGTTATTATACGCATAAATCATTTTAAATAATCAGAAGAATCCTGAAAAAAATATCACAGTTGTTTTGAACATTATTAATAATAAGAAATGTTTCTTGAGCACCACATCAGCATATTAGAATGATTTCTGAAGGGTCATGTGACACTAAAGACTGGAGTAATGGCTGTTGAAAATTCAGTTTTGCCGTCACAGGAATAAATTACACTTCAAAATATAATGAAATAAAAAACAGCTATTTTAAAATTGTAATAATATTTCACAAATTCTACTGTATTTTTGATCAAATAAATGCAGCCTTGGTAAGCATAAGAGACTTACGTCTTAAAAAAAAAACTTACAGACCCCAAATTTTTGAATGGCACTGTCTGTGCTGGAGCAATATTAGAAGTGCACATCAGAAGGAGTATCTCTTTACAGTAAAAGACAGACAATATGGACAGAAAGATTACCTTAAATTCACTTGGCACTATGAGCTTTGGCGTATCGACCCCAACAAGAGCATCAACACCACAGAAGATCAAAATTGCCAGGACAATGGCAAAGTCACTTATGAGTTTTCTCACCTAAGAAAATGGAAAAAATATGCTTTTTTTAGGAACTGCTGTGAGTAATGAGTATGACGTCAGTAGTCTTTGGCCTCAACAACTGCAGTATTGATTAGGAGTATAGAGACTGGATTGACAAAACAATTGTCTACCTGCCCACAGTATATGGATTAGAGACTAAATATTGATTGCCTCTACACATGCTGTATGATTAGAGGCACAGATTGACAAATCCATCACAAACACGCCACAGGTGGACAATGTGGCTACTTACAGTAGTAGGAAAGTACGGGCTGGTCTTGAATTTCTTCAGACACATGGAGCAGGTGTAGGTGCCAAAGAAAAGGATGAAGGACATGAGGGTGATGTCGGGCACAAAGTTACAGGCTGTGCCCACTAGCTCCCCTCCGTATTTCAAGCATTCCTTCTTTGACAGTGAGGACCAGCTGGCATTCAAGCGCTGCTCAAATGACACAAAGACATATGATCAGAACATCAAATCTACAGGTGTCTGGATCAAACATTTTTTTTTAAGTTGTTCATTTACAGAAAATCATGACATTCCTTGTAACTCTCTCGTTATGAACCTAGCAGCAATAAGTCAGATCTTGTTGATTGATTTTACAAACCCATGCTAAATAATTTGCATTTATGTAATCATGTTTATTGTAATAACTGAGGTATGAACTGAAATCGTTTTACTGTGGTGATCTGCATTATTAGCACACAGACCTACAGTAACTTGAACCCAAGACATACATTTAAAGTTGAGTGACACTTGTGTTATGAACAAAGACAGTTGCAGAACATTGAACACTCTCCAGTTTCTGTTTGAAGGCTGATGCTTTGTTGTCTTCAACCTCTCTGAAGTTTTACAATGACTCTGTTACTGTTCAAGTTTGCACAAAAGGTGCGAAACATGAGCTATGGCTCATTCAGTCACAAAGATATTGGCAAGGATTTGGGCATTATGTTTCATTGATCTCAAACTGAGGACTACATCTGAATGAAACCATTGAGAGATCTCTATTATTCGCAGCTGGGAGCTCAGTTTGGCTTTAGAAGAGGACAAAACGTCAGGCAGGTCTGGAGAAAACGTTTTATGAAAACAGCCAACAATTTAAGGATTAAATGGCACCATGTACTTTCTGAACATAACCAGGACAAGGAAGTTTTCTCCAATGTGTTGTGTAAGTTCTGTTTGGTGACCTCAATAAACCTAACAAGTGAAATACACAACACAAGTTTTGTCCAGATTTTAAATTCATTTTTAGTCTGGAGCAGTTGATAAAAGTTGCCTAAAGTCAGTGCCAGTCTACAGATTCTGAGCAGTTGACAGGTTTCACAGAAAATCATGTAGTGTATAATAGGCATAGACTTGGATTTATTAGCTTTTTCAGACTATGATTCCATTCAGTCAAAGGATATCAAATATGTTTTATATTTTTAGCTGATTTTATTTTATTTATTTTTATTTATTTATTTAGACATATATATTTTTTAATTTGTCCTGTTTCTCCTAGAAATGAGGAGCATGTTTCTCATGTAGTGTATTACAGCCTATGCACATATATTAGTGATGTTTTGAAACACTTACTGTATCGCTGTAATTTACAGTCCAGATAAATGTTGAATCAAGTGGATCAGTGTACACATCTGAAGAATTGGCTGAAAAACACAAAGGTCAAAGGTCTGAAGTGGCCTTTAGAAAGAACCAAAAACATACAGTGGGGCTCAAACATGTAAATCTGAAACCTGGAAATTTTGAAAAATTCTGAAACTTTATTATGTAAAATAAATAAATAATGCAAATAAAAATAAAAAGGAAAATCCAAAATAGAAAGGTTTTCACTTCTCATTTGTGGGACATATTTTCCCATTTTATGTGTAAAATTTAACTGTAACATTTGTACTATTTAAAGGGTTAGTTCACCCAAAAATGAAAATTCTGTCATTAATTCCTCCCCCTCATGTCGTTCCAGACTCGTAAGACCTTCGTTCATCTTCAGAACACAAATTAAGATATTTTTGTTGAAATCTGACAGCTCTCTGACCCTCCATAGACAGCAAGGGTCCTACCACGTTCAAGGCTCAGAAACATAGTAAGGACATTGTTAAAATAGTCCATGTGACATCAGTGGTTCAACCGTAATTTTATGATGCTACGAGAATACTCGTAGCAAAAAAAATAAAAATAAAAATAAATAAATAATGACCTTTATGAAGTAGTATCACTCTCCATAAAGGTAGAAGACGGTAACTCGCAAGAGAAGAATTGTTGTATAAACTCTTTATCTTGTTTTTTTTGCGCACAAGAAGTATTCTTGTAGTCATAAAATGACGGTTGATCCACTGATGTCACATGGACTATTTTATCAATGTCCTTACTACATTTCTGAGCCGTGACCATGGTAGGACCCTTGCTGTCTATGAAGGGTCAAGAAAGCTCACATCATCCAAGTGGATGCTGCACACTGGTGGTGGTTGAGCAAGAGACCCCCCCACATGATTGTAAAGCGCTTTGGGTGTACAACAATAAACAGTAAAGCGCTATATAAATGCATCATTCATTCATTCATTCATTCATTCATTACATGTTTGGAACAACATGACGGTGAGGAATTAATCACAGAATTTTTATTTTTGCGTGAACTATCCCTTTAACACACTTGACTCAGACAATGTCACTATTTTCCTTTAAACTCTCAAAAAACATGACAGATTTCACAAGCAGATGCTCACACAGGTGCAAACATTTTATCACGGTTACGGGCGAGTCAAACACAAGATATGTGCCAACCAGTTCGCAATGACCGCTGTAAAATGTTCACCACTTCTCCACAGCATTAATCTTTAAAGAGACTCTTTGCTGGGTTCCCCTAACTGGAACTAATTTCCACACAGCTGTTGTTTCCCTCTGCAGTATCGGATTGGAGAGAAGTCAAGGGAGGGTGAAGAGGAGCAAACAGCGGTTTAGAGGAAAGCAGCATGAGTGGATGAGCGCCCCACCCGCCAGCTCCTCTCTGTACGGTCTTAATTCACCACACGCATGGAGATTAACCCCAAACCACATCACGTCCACATCCACCCCCTAGATTGCTCCTTCATTCCTACTGACGACACCACACACACAACGCCACTAGCACAATAAACAGATGAAGTGAATGTCAAAATTGTTGCTAAGTCAGCCACAAAACATTACACCGACACAAAGAAGAGATTTAATTATTATTTCAAAACTTCAAAAACAAAGTTTTGTAATTGTTCAGTGGTCTGAATATCAAACGGGCCCAGTGGTTTAGCAGTGTGATAATTGACTAACAACATTCTTTCACACCAATATAAAACCTGCATTAAAAAAAACAAAGCAGATGACTGCAGAATGTATCAATTCCTGTTCTTGCTGTCTTCTGTTTGGGATGGAAACTCAAAGTCACCCTTCAGTCACTAATAAATTAACTTGAGTGAAGTCACAGTCACAATAGATTTTGAGCAAGCAAAATTTCTCTGGACACTGCAACTGTCATACTATATGATGTTGCACTCTGTGGCATCTTTTTTAAAAACAAATTCAGGTGAAATTCAACATATAGCAGAAAAATATTCCAGTCTACTCTACTGCAACACCACAATCCTGCATATTTAAAGCTTCCATTTTTAATTCAACTGACATGACGTACACATCTTTACGAAACTCGGAGTGTCAGAGTTCACAGAAATTGAGCTTTGGAATGCATTCGCACCCGTACGAATGAAAGTCAGTGGAACTTTAGTATGACCACTCTTTTAAGGTGGGGTCACATTAGAGAAATTTTCAGTGTAGTGAAAACAGCTTTCTGTTCGTTAGCATGAAGAATTAACCCATTGCAAAATCTGCATGGTAAAAACTTCAGCCTTCATGAAATTCCTGATTGCGTGGATTCCAATTAAAATGAATGTATTTTGCCAGTAAAAAATTTGTCAGACAAAGGTAAATGCACCTTTATTGACTTGAGACTTGACTTAGACTTGTATACAACTGACTTGAGATTTAATCTTGTAAACAATCGAGTCTTGACAAATCCATTAATCTGAGACATGACACTCAGAAACTGCTGGTTTGATACTTGACTTATACTTTGTCTTCGAGACTCCGAATTAGACAAAATCTATGAGTGTATAGAAAACTACTGTCAAAAGTGATTTGACATGGATTGTGACAAAAGACTTGAGCCTTGACTTGTACTGTATATCAGACACCTGTTATCATGTCTGGATATTGTAGCTGCAAGCCATATGGTGCACTACTGTGTCCTGCTGAAAATTAAGATGCAAATGGAATGAATAGCTATGGCATCACTATAATTATATCCAGGAAAAACGACAACTGAATTGAATCATCATGCACTGTACAGAGTTTTGGATATAAAGACAAAAGCAATCCTCTGGGTCTGAACTATCATTTGAAGACCAGAATTAGTACAACAAATAGGATAATTAAATATTTATGCTGGTCATATTTATAAGCCGTGTGCCAGATGTCAACTTGGACACCTTTTAACAACAGCTGTACAAGCTTCAACTCTATAAAAGAGCTAAACATCCATTCCTATCAAACTATTGTGCTTCCACTGTATGTGTATCAGTGTCAATCAAGCAACTTCAATTTATACTCAGGCCAAATTTCTTTCAAACTACCAGGTAGTCACGAAGTGGAATGAATGTATGGTAACTGCACTTGAGCTCAAAGCAGCACATTTTGGATCCCAGCAAAAGGGAAAAAAGGTCACTTTGTGCTACATCATATCTGCTTCACTAAGCAAAATAATGTTACATATGCATCAGTAATCTTTTTTCTGTTTTGTCAGCACTCGTCGTTTCTTGCATCTGGTGCGGACAAGTCAGAGACTTAGAAAGGTAATTCGGAATTTAAAACGAAAGTAAAAGTTCAGGCAAGTTGACAAACTTGCAAATGGATAAAGGTTTTGTAAGCTCAATTAGCATCTAAATACCAAAGCAAGAAAACTTCAGAAGAAAAGATGTACCAGGTCTTACCATCAGTGGGCGCCATACACATGCAGTCATATTGCGTGACGTAATTGATTTTATAGTCTGAGTTGATGGGGTAATAATGAGCCAACTTCAGCATCTTCTTGAAGGCGTCATAGATGAAGATGAAGCTGATGAGCGAGGAGAAGCCCTCTTCTGTAAATCGGGTGAAATACTGCACCAGGAAGCTGGCGTCAGTGGCCACTAGGGCTAGACAGAAGAAGGCCGACCATAGGCCGATCCAAAGACGGAACTCTAGGTAGTCAAAGTCATGCTCCCTGCGGAAGACAGAAAATGGACAGAAAATGAACTCAATTCCCTCCAACCTTCAAATCATCCAGCAATGAAAAGTACACTACCGTTTAAAGGTTTGAGGGTGTTAGCGGAGGGATCCGAGACGGGCTCGTCCTTTTCTCGGTCCTCACCCGCTAGATCTCTCTCAGTGTTAGGAAGCCCGCGCTGCGGTTTCTTCCCACACCCCCAGAGAGAGAGAGCCAGACGCTTCATCTATCTTCCTCCCCTGAAGGGGAACGTCTCTAGGTTACGTATGTAACCATGGTTCCCCGAGGGAATGAGACGCTACGTCTCTTTGCCATACTCCCTGCATCCCTCCAGGCGCTACTTCATCGAAGCTGGTTTGCGCTCTGCCGGATGCGCTTTTATACTTTCTGGTGCTTACGTCACCCCGCTCGTGACGTCTCGCTACTCCATTGGACTGATTTGACACATGCTTCAGAACGCGGTCACGCAAGGGCGTTCCCAAAGCGACTTCGACGCAGCGTCTCGTTCCCTCGGGGAACCATGGTTACATACGTAACCTAGAGACGTTATTCTTCGTGTTTTTGAAAGTCTCTTATGCTCACCAAGGCTGCATTTATATGATCAAATATAAAGTAAAAACAGTAATATTTTGACAAATTATTAACATTTAAGTAACTGTTTTCTATTTGAATATATTTTTAAATGCAATTTATTCCTATGATGGCAAAGCTGAATTACTGCAGTCATTGTCACATGATCCTTCAGAAATCATTCTGATATGCTGATTTGGTGCTCAAACATTTCGTATTATCAATGTTGAAAACAGTTGTGCTGCTTAATAGAATCTTAGTTTCAGATAACTACTAAATGGTGAGTATATGCAGTAGTTGGTTTGCAATGTCACATTCTGAACAGAGATGATGAAGCACCTGCTGAAGTTGAAGAGCAGCCTTTCAAACACCAGCACTGGCCCCGTACTGCTGAGGATTGTCAGAGGTTGCCCAGCCAGGAGACAGAACACTGCTCCAGACACCGCTGTGCCCAGAAAGCTCTCCAGCACACCCTTCACACAACACACAATGAAGAAGAGTCAAAGGGTTAGGGACAAACCCAACTGAAGATCAAGCTCTGTGGACAGAAAGTCTGTTTAAAACAGGACTAGCTTTCCTTGTTCACAGACGTACTTTGTGATTTTATCCCATGCGAATCTGTGCTTTCTCTCACATAACCTCAGTAAAAATTACAAAGCAAATTACCTATTTTCCTTTACATAACTTATGTACATAATGTTAATTCATTCTTTCAATGGATTTATCATTAATATCAAGCACACTGAATTCAATAAATTGATTTTTATTACCCATAAATTTAATTAGGTGTTGCACATGGCCTTCCATAATGCCCATATCCAGACCGTAGACTCGAACCTTCATTATTAACTAGCCCTGTCCAAATCAATACATTAAATCACTGAACTGAACAGCTTTCCTGAACTGAAACATTGACTAGCCAAAGACGTGTGCAGCAGACCTTAGCATGCATCTTTAAGACAGCTAATTATATGAACTGTGAGACTTTAACTTACTAACATGACCTTTGAACTCGTGGTAACATTTCAAAAGGAGGGCAGAGAAGAAGCAGCTCCCAGTGTGTGTCAGTTAAAGATTGACCAAGATTGAATTACACTGTAATCCTTGCCAAGGTTGGACTGATTCTTATTTAGAAAGGCTCTGGCACAGAGAGCACGTCACATCCGTACACTCATGTAGTTTCTCATGGTTTGCAGCTGTATCTTCACCTGCATGTTCTCTGTGGCGTCACCCAGCAATCCTCCGAATGTGATGGCATTGGTTACTGTTCCCAGGTAGATGAAAAGAATGGCAGACAAAGACTGGATGTGTAGTCCATCGTAGAAATCACTGAAGAAAAAGGGAGCTTTTCTTTTGATATCAAGAATAAGGCCTCCACAAAACCTGAAAAACAAAACATGACATGTTATAATTGTCACAGTGGTTTTCATTGAATTTTATTACATTTCTACAGCTTATCTTAATCTGCCTTCCTCTATTCACAAAATATATTTCTCTCTGTACAGTAGGGTTCAAAAAACTGAGTGAAACTGAAAATCTGGGATTTAATTCAAACCTAATAATAAACATAAACCATGCAATAATCACAAAACTTGCAGGATTTTGAATATTATTATATACTATTTCTAGGCCACTAATCAAAAGTAAAGAGGGGTATACCAAATACTAAAACAATTTGAAATTCATGTTAATTTTGTTAACTATTATTAACATTTATTTTTGAAAATATTAAATATTTTAAACAGTAGTATGTTGTTTATTGCTATTATTAATTAGTAAAAGGGATACAAATCTATTTAGCACAAAATACTAACAGTACACAGCAATTCCTTGCCAAAGGTCAAGTAAAAAATCAAATCTAATGATAACAGTCTGTACTCTGTAAATGGAGCACATGCTGACTTCAATGTTTGTCTAATATTAAGATAATTCTAGTCATTTTAAAGAGTCAAACAGACCTTTATCTGAACTAAACCATGGTGTTCAGAGGTTCGGCATAATCTGTTCCTTCAGAAGAATTTATACAAACATTAACTCACTTCCCCGTCTTCTTCAGCTCATCGCCTACTGCGTGCCCCCCGCCCCCGTGTCCACCGCTGTGAGGCGTGTCTCCATTCATCTGTGTGCTGTCCCCTCCAGCATACATGTTCTTTCTGGACAACATAACAAGCACATGGAGATTGTTGAACACAGAACACAAAAACTTTAATGTTATTAATGCCCTAAAATAAATGTTATATGGGAGGAAAGCGAGAACAGAGAAAGAAATATGACAAAAGACACACTCAGTGGACTCTTCATAAGTCATTTTAAAGTCCCCACAGCCTGAAAAGCCTAAATAAAAAATGCAAGCTCATACACTGGTAGCTCACACAAATGTCTTATGCAATACAAAATAAAATACAAGATAGACATCGTAATTCAATGTTATTCTTCAGTTCCTAAAATTACAATCTAAATGCCATGATATATGAATATGTTACTCACTGAACCATCCACATGGCATGAAAATCATTTAAAAAAAAACCATGGAACGATAGATAGAACTATAGGATAATACATAATCTGATAAAATTATCAAACAATAGATAAAATGATAAAATACCAGATAAAAAGACAGACAGAGATACAGAACGACTTAATGATAGATAAAACGGTTAACTGATAAAATGATAAGATAGACAGACACACAGATAGACAGATAGAAAAAAGATTTAAAAACAGATAATTAGGGGTGGGGCGATATGACCAAAATCTTATATCACAATGAGTCATTTTACTTCACGGTAACAATATATATTACAATATAGTTATTTTTGCTTTAAATAAGGTCTTTATGATATCAACATTTTTGAAACCATAGAAAATTCAGAATTCTTGTCACCACTGTCAATATCACAAAAAACACGATTAAATAAGAACAAGAAACTAATTACAAGCAATAGGACAAAAAAAAACTACAGTAGAACAAATAAATAAGAAATGCTCCATACATTGTATAAAGTAATCAAATGTATAAAAACACTGCATATTCTTCACTGTGTAAATTAAACATACATTTCTTATTAAATTTACAAAAGTGATTTAGCTGTCACTTTAAGAGCTGCCTGGATCCAATATACTGTTACACATGTGTTTTCCTTTAGCTGTTTGCTTTCACTTAAGACCTAAATAACTGTGTTTATGAGGATACTTGCAAACAATGGCATTTTGATACATACAAGTGTGTGTATTTAACCGTTCAAAGGCTACAAAGTGGCAAAAATAACTTCTTCATGTGTGTTGACAGCGCTCAGAAACAATCGCTCAGACAGCGCATGCATATAGCGAAATGAGTTCTCTTTCACTGATGATTGCATTTCAACAGCTTAAAATCACTTGATTTTTTAAACAGCAATGCTTAAAAGCGTGTGCAAACGATACGTTTTCGTGACCACATAGCACAGCAACGTCACATGAGTGTGTAAACGCGATAGAGATGATAGTCCAAAATCTCTACCGGTTTACAAATGAAAATGATAAAACAATAGAGAAAACAATAAAAGAACTGAGCGACAGATGATAAAAGGACTTAAGATAAAACAATAGATGATAACTGTAAATTTAATTGTAAAGTTTTTTTTTTCTTACAAATTAATGGATGATAGAGACAGACAGACAGACAGACAGATAGATAGATAGATAGATAGATAGATACTGTAACCAGTTCAGTCTGTTGTTTACATTCAACAAGCTACTGTAACCAGTTCAGTCTGTTGTTTACATTCAACAAGCTACTGTAACCAGTTCAGTCTGTTGTTTACATTCAACAAGCTACTGATAAGTGTCAAATTGGTGAAACTGTATAATGATCTGCTGAATGTTACGTAATTTTGATAGAGACAGACAGACAGACAGACAGATAGATAGATAGATAGATAGATAGATACTGTAACCAGTTCAGTCTGTTGTTTACATTCAACAAGCTACTGTAACCAGTTCAGTCTGTTGTTTACATTCAACAAGCCACAAATGAATGTATGAGGTCTAGTGTGTGTAGTGTGTTGTGTACACTGTGTGTTATGCTGGTGTGACTGACTGCTGTGGGCACACAGCTCTGCTTTATAGGTAATGCGGGCTGGTACAGATTGAGGTGGCAGGATGAGGAGGCAGCCTGCTGTCACTTCACCTGAAGCCAAAGAGAAGTGACGTAATTGATCTAATTAACCGCTGCTCTGCTCCACTACACTGGATGAATGAATGGTTGGCCTGGCCAACTGGCCTTTGAAACTACTTCCTGACTGTGTGTGAAATACATTATGTAACACACTGTACATGGCTTAAAGGGTTTGGCTACTAATATAAAAAAGACATACATGCAGTTTCTGCTTGTCATTTGTAACAATGAAAGACTGAAATTACTTTAATTAACCCTTAAAAAACTGTCAAACTACCTCAGGGACAGCCTCAGAAATGCTATTTCACAATTGTTTGAGTCATTTCAAAACAGGAACATTGACAGACTTTGATGTGGGATATTGGTGGGGCTTCAGCAAAAGAAAGCGTGACAGGCTAATATGGGCTCCCTACATCAATTACCTTTTATCTGAGGATGGCAGGGATTTTGGTGGCTCTATCCTGATGGCAGGGTCCCATTCTCCAGGAGGGAGGACAATGACCTCATCCAAGAACTCGTCGATGCCAGCGAGGAGATCTTGTCTGTCCTTGGCTTTGTACGCAATTTCATGGAAGACCTTGATAAGAGAACTTTGATTACTGGCCAACTCTCCCCACACATGACTAATCCAAGCACAAACCTTTTTTTTTTTTTTTGCTATATATAATTCGAACAAAACATTTCAGGCACAGCAACTCAGCATCAAAACATATATATATATATATATATATATACACACACAAATAACATTAAATTAACACTGGTTCTGTTACAGATTGCAGTCGTTTTTTGTTTTTTTTTTTAAGTGTAAAAGCAACAGTATTTAGCACCCTTAAGCCCCGTTCACACCAAGAATGATAACTATAAAGATAACTATAAAGATAACGATATTAATATAACGATATTAATATATATAACGATGGATTCTGATTGGCTGTCAATTTTTTATCGTTCATCAGCTGGAGAAAAATCGTTTTGAAAGTGATTCCAACGATATCGTTTCTCTTTGTCTTTATCGCTATAGATGTGGTGTGGACTCTGCTATTCTTTAATATTGAGAACAATTTTTAGAACTATATCTTTATTGTTATCTTTATAGTTATCGTTCTTGGTGTGAATGGGGCTTTAAACATGACTGAAGGCCATTTTCTGTTGTTGTGTGAACAAAAAAATTCTGAATCAAAATAGGACAAAAAATGTTCTAAGATTAGTCTGTATGTACCTCATCGGACATCAGAGTAGCAATTGCTCTACCAATTTCATGGTATGACTTGGCTTTGCCTTTGGGTCCAAGAAGAATGAACAGAAATCTAGGAAAGATAATAACAAATATTACCTAAAGTAAAACACACAGCTTTTCTATTGGTTTAATAAAAGCCTGTTTTGAACTGAACACCCTCCACCACTGCTATATTTTCCTCCTTGGCTTTGTGGGATAAAAGCAGGTCATACCTGGTGGGCACAGGCACTTCAGTCAGCGCCCCCAACATGACAGCCTGCTGCAGCCTCAGAAAGGCCACAAAAGGACTGTCCAGGAAGTCCACTTCTCCAACGAGAACATTGGAAGCTTCAGCATCTCTGGGCAGTTTCTTCATGAACTTGTTCTTCAGCTGAACACATGCAGGATGGGATTTTAATGAAATTCAGTAAGGAGGAAGAACCGGGTAAACAAAGTGCACAAATCAAGCTCCAACACATGACCTCATTAAACATACTGCCCAGTTGGCATTCTGTGCCAAGACTTTCATGAAGATGTGATGAATCCAACAACAGCAACTGTCCAACTAATGGAAATTACAAAGATTGGTGGCTGCATGTGGGATTGTTCATTCTAGGGTTCAGCAAGGGCCCACTGTGACTCCTGCATTCTTTTACTCTTAATTCAGAGGAACCAGTGGTAACCAGTATAAGAACTGTTAAATTCATTTTATTTATATGGGTTGTTGTCGTTGCTACCAGTGATAAAATGAAGGCCAAATTCAAAGGCAGTGGCATTTGCCAGCTCAGACTTTGAGGTCATGCCAAATGTGAAATTTACAAGCCAAAGATAATTAGTACACCCTTCACACATAACCATAAATTGTTAAGCAACTCCAACTTATGCCTCCAAAGTCATCATTGCGAATTTTAACAGCTAAAAGTATCACACTTACTCAAGCTTGTTGCATATATAAAGTGCTTTTAGGTTTATTACTTGCAATAATGCAAACATTTACTATTCTTTAACAGTAAGACTAGCGCACAAGACATAAATCTAATTCTAAAGCTCATAAATCAAATTTGACAGCTCTGCTGTCAACTTGAAAATGGGGTTACAATATCAGTCATTAATAAACCAATTCCCCAGTATACTTCCCAAACATAAACAATAACATTCCCTCCTGAAAGTCTTATTGAACAGTCAGAGTAAGCGGTTTCGTTAACCATTGACGGAAGAACACTGGAAACGCAAGCACAATGGAAAACATTTAACCTGCAGCACCTGAGCACATGATGGGACAGACCTCTCACTCATCAACAGCACTAGCATCATAAATCATTTGTTTTGAAGCTCTTGCTTTTATTCCATTATACTGTTGCAAAACTATCGTATTACTGATTATCATTGAATTACTGTCGTGAGATAAAATAAGCACATATCCTGACGCATTAACATGTGTATTAATGTAATGAATGGGATGACTTTGTGTCTTGCTTTAGAAAAGGTTACTTATATAAACTTGATATGTTTTGTCAATTCAGAAAGTTTTTACGACTTCTCAGAAAACCTTGATGACTCCTTTTTTATGAAATATGTAGACACTGTTTAAGAAAGATAATATTTTATTTGTACATGATGCTTTGAAATCTGTTATGCTTATTTTCCCCCTTGTTTTCTTATGATTTGGTTGCATAAAAAAAAACTACACTATCTCTGATCATTAAATCTACTCTATCCCCCGATGTAAAGAGATAGTTCACCAAAAAATATTTTGTTTAACATTTTGTTGAAAATAATGAGTTAAAGACACATGATCTAATTTCATGATACTTTTTAGTGATTTTAAAGACTCCTATTTGACCAATATGACCATCCCTACTTTGCGGGAAAAACTTTATAAACACTGAATTCAACTCATTCTGGGAATTTAGAAAGAAAAGATACCATAGAGTGACAAAAAAGATCATGACTAAATGAAACTAAAGCAAGTGAAGAAGTGGTGGCTATAGATAGAGGGGAGTGATATCACTGATGTTAACTGGAGGCCAGATTGTAGACAGCATTAATAGAGGAGCGTAAAGAGATGATTAAGGTATTAGAAGGACACACCTTAAACAACCCATAGTGTTTTTCTCAGACTTGTATGAATGTTTACCTCTGAGCTTCATTATCTAGGAGTCAAAAAAGGGTCATCAGACGGTTATGTTCCATCAGTTAATTCATTTCAGCAGCACAGTATGCTGAATACAACACCATGCAAAGCATTTTTTACAATGTACAGTATGTGTTCCAATTTTATTACAGGCAACTTCTGACCTAATAATATATCACACACTCCAAGCAACTCGCATTAACATCAAATATCACATCTCTAGCTGTCCAGCTCTCTAACAGATAGTATGTGATGTGGAAAGGCTTAGCATCATCTCTGATACTGGATTACTTCCACCGCATCAACAGGGTCTGATAGCCTGCATTTTGTGTAGTCAAGCCATGGAACAGATGACTTCCTGTTGCAGCTAATGAGAATCGAGCACTGTCACCTGAAATCTCAGTAAATATCTTTAAATAAATGCTTTACAATTGAGAGTGTTGCTGTTTTCTTCATACTGTATTTGTCTTGTTCCCAATAAAATCATTTTTGTCAAGGCTTGAATTCATGGTACTGCCTTAAGTGGGCGCTATTTCAGAAGAAAATTCAATTCATTGAGTAAGTTATTAAGCTAAATTCACAACAGCAATTTATTACATGTTACTTAGGTTACCATTCATTTCCAGATTCTGTGAATATCTAATCTCAGGAAGCAGGAATGACATCATCCAAAAAACAAAAAAAGTGTGACAAGCCATGAGGCTTTCACAGTGCATGACACGAACCCAGCCATCCCTCAATCTGCGCTTATAATCACAATCTGTCCATGTCTCTGGGCCACCTCACACAAGCAGCCTCTCAATCCCCCACTCTGCCAAAAGGGGCAAGGGGCATCTCCTCTGAGTCTGTCAACAGCTGAGGCCTTCCAGCAATCACATCCACACTGGTTTATTCAGCACACAGCACAAGAACACTGTCAAACATTTGCTAGCTATTTCACTTAATGCTGCATTCAGCAAGAAGGGATGCATTCTCACGTAAAAAGGAAAGATTCTACAATTCCTCTGAGGTGAACTTCTGTGAAGTGAGTTAATTTTTATGGTTTGTCACAGATTGACACCACCCTAATGACCTCCTGGTGCTCTGTCAATGAGAGCCCAAGAACTTCCCATTAGGAATGGAAGTCTGTATTTCACACTAGCCCTATCCTTGTGCTTCTGTTCTGTTCATCTAAGTGCAATGTCCTATTTTATCATTAGGAAAACATTGGCTTCATCAGTCTTGTCATAGTGACATTGACTGATGTGCACAGATTTTTGGCAATCCAAATTACAGTCAATTACAGATGCTTTTATATTTTTACATGTATACATGTTTTTAATATTTGATTATTAATAACATGTTATATTGCATTCCAGAGGTTGGGGTTGGAAAATTTTTAAATGTTTTTGAAAGAGGTCTCAAGCTCAACAAAGCTGCATTTATTTAATTATAGTAAAAATAGGAATACTGTGAAATATTGTTAAAATTTAAATAAATATTTTACATTTTATTATATGTGACCATGGACCACAAAAATAAGGGTCAATTTTCAGAAATTGAGATTTATGCATCATCTGAAAGCTGAATAAATAAGCTTTCCATTGATGTATGGTTTGTTATGATAGGACAATATTTGGTCCAGATACAAGTATTTAAAAATCTGGAATCTGAGGGTGCAAAAAAATCAAAATATTGAGTAAATCGCCTTTAAAGTTGTCCAAATGAAGTTCTTAGCAATGCATATTACTAATCAAAAATTAAGTTTTGATATATTTACGGTAAGAAATTTACAAAATATCATCATGGATGATGATCTTTACTCAATATCCCAATGATTTTTGGCATAAAAGAAAAATCAATAATTTTGACCCATACAATGTATTGTTGGCTATTGCTACAAATATACCCCAAGCAACTTATGACTGGTTTTGTGCTCCAGGGTCACATATGTTAAAATGTAATTTATTCCTGTGATAGCAAAGCTTAATTTTCAGCATCATTACTCTAGGCTTTAGTGTTACATGATCCTTCAGAAATCACTCTAATATGCTGATTTGGTGTTTAATAAACATTTTATACTATTATCACCATTAAAAACAATCTAATATTATAGTTTACTGTTTATTATTTCTGTCAAAACCATACTATTTTTAAGGATTCTTTTGACGAATAGAAAAAGAACAGAAAGTACAAAATGACAACATTTATTTAAAATTTAAAACGTTATAAAAGTCTTTACTGGCACTTTTAATCAATTTAATGCACGCTTTGTGCATAAAAGTAAAAAAAAAAATCTTCCTGGCCCCAAACACACACAAACACATGAACAATCTTGAAACTGGACTCACCTGATCTTTCTCTGGTTTGTCTGAGATATCGCTCAGGCTGCTTGATGTCAAGTTGCGATGTGTGGTGGTTGGACTACCTAATCAAAATGAATGAAAATAACAGATCAATGAAAAAGACCCAAATTGAAAAGGGCACTGTTCCATTATTTTAAACACAAAGTTTTAAAAAATAGTCTACAAATAAATCCAAATGCAGGATAAGCAAGGGAACTGAATGTCAGATGAACCATTGGGGAATCAGTGGGACTGACAACACTGCACAGAACATTAATATTTTTTCACAGGCTCTGAATTGCTTGTGTCCATGCTTTTAAAAGTAAAATAACTTAAATTAGGAAAGGTGAAGTGCCAGGCAAGAAAGGAACCTACTGAAAGGTTAACTATTAACCTTGCAGAGTCCAAGTCATTGTCATCATTGCTGTGAACAGCATAGCAGGAGAACAGCACAGTGAAGCAAAGTATTCCCAATGCCACAGACTTATATTGACTAAGATGTCAGTTTGATGCAGCCAAAAGAAGAAAAAGGGAGGCTGAATATAGATGAGGGAGGTTTAAAAAAAGAAGCTTCATTTATGAAGCACTTAAAAAGAAAGAAGAAAAAAAAAAAAAAGAGTAGTAACTTGAAAAAATAATTCACATCCACCTTCAGAAATCCTACATTATCAGATCAGAGCTGCTCATTAATATGGTTATGGTCATGATGATACGGTGATCTCCAGTGGAAAGTTCCACAGAAATTAGTCCAATGTGATTATTAGAAGACTTTGGAATTTAAATCTATTAAGGGTGAAGATCACCATAACGGGAAATTCTAGATATGAAAATATATTACATAACAATGACTACAGGACTGACTAGCTAAACATAGATGGTCACAACAACAAATAAAAAAGGTCATATCACTCAATCTAAAAATAGGTTCTTTATTGGCATCAATGGTTCCATGAACAATCTTTAACATCCATGTAACCTTTTCATTGCACAAAAGGTTCTTTATAGTGGAAAAAGTTTCAGATTATTATTACTTATTATTATTATTATTCAGATCAGATTATAATTCAGATTATTAAAACATTCTTTAAACCATGTAAACTGTTCACTTAAAAGTTCTTTGTGGAACCAGAAACTAATTATCTGTGCATCGCAGCAAACGCTTCCTTTGAAACCCTTATTTTTAAGAATGTACATTTTGTATGATTTCATTTGTCCCTAAGGTGTTATTTAGTTATTCAATTAACTCTTTAAATGGTCTAAGAAGATTTGGTTCCTCGTGATATGACCCTTTGAAGCTACAATCCTATGCTATTCTCACAGCTACTGTATGTTACACACTACGTGGGGTGAAGGGACACATACACATGTAATGGCAACTGGTAAGTTGGACTTACTAGGCCATCCCATGCTTGGACTTCCAGGGGCTCGCAACACCTCCTCTGAGTTGCGAGTCATTAGACAAGGCACTGAAGTCTCAAGTGGATTACGTGCTTTTAGTGACAAGTGCAGCAGAAAGGATAAAAGATGGTAAGAAGGGTGAAAAGATAAGATTGTTAAGGTGATAGAGGTCAGTGGTTTTAGGCATACAGTTTAGCTATTTTTGTAAAAGATTGTGTGAGACTGGTGTAAAATCACTCAGGAAAAGATAGGATTTGTTATAGAGGTAGAAAAGCACAGTTAAAGCAAGTTTTTTTTTTCAGGAAACAAAAGTTGTGGTGAATAACATTTATGTCACATTCAAATGTCCAATGGTCAAAGAATCACAGGATTCATGGTTTAAAACCTGTGCACATGCAGCCTATAAAAGCTGGAAAAATGCTGGCATGATCTTTGTTTAAAGTTTTATCAATGCACTATTTGTCTTAACTGAAGACATGTAAATATCATTGCCAAAAATCAAATGATCCTTTTGACCATTGCTTTATTTGAAGTGTTGCCTGTGTTGTCCATGTTGTATTTAAACACTGCTCTAAGATTAGTTTATTAGTTCGCCAGTTCATAACAGTTCACAATCTCAACAATGTAATGCAACAGCCTATTCTGTGCATCACTGAAAAATAAATGCATAGAGACAGGACAGACTAAAAATAAAGGGTAACACTCTACTTGAAGGGGTGTGCATAAGACTGACATGACACCTTCATAATCATGACATGACACATGTCATGAATATGAAGGAGGTTTTATGCATTTTTATGACAACTGTCATTAAGTGTCATTCTCTCAGTTATGTCATTTTTAATGCAAATATTTGACCTAACCCTAACCTAACCCTACCCCTACCCCTAACCATAGCCCATAACAAAGACATCTCAAACAATGTCATCTTTGCATTAAAAATTACATAACTGAGCAAATGACACTTAATGACAGTTGTCATAAACATGCATAAAAAACCTTCATATTCATGACATGTGTCATGTCATGATTATGAAGGTGTCATGTCAGTCTTATGCACACCCCTTCAAGTAAAGTGTAACTAAATAAGGTACTGAAAAGCAACAAGTTACTATTTAAAGAGCCCATGAACTCTTTTCGTGTCTTCTAGCTCTCCCTATATGCTTGTGTACTCCTAAAAAATGCCTAAATTAACATTTAATGGATTCTGATTACACAGAGTTTTGACTCTCTGGAATGAGAATGTTCCTCCCCTTAATATGACCTGTAACTGCCTAAGCAAGCAGCAAATCATGATCATGGCTGTGATGTAATTAAAGCTTAATGATTATTTAATCCCTTTGATATGTCACACACAAACCTCATGTTGTAAGAGAAAATACACCACTGTTTAAAAGTTTGGGCTCAGTAAGATTCATGTTTTTAAAAGAAGTCTCTTCTCACCAAGGCTGCATTTATTTAATCGAAAATACAGTAAGAATACAGCAGTATTGTGAAACAGCCTCGTCTTCAGCGTCACATGATCCTTCAGAAATCATTCTAATATGCTAATTTGGTGCTCAAGAAACATTTATTATATATCATCAAAGTTGAAAACAGTTGTGCTGCTTAATATCAGAAACCATGATACATTCTTTCAGGATTCTATCATGAATAGAAAGTTAAAAATAATAGAATTTATTAGAAATAGATGCATTATAAATGTTTTCCTGTCACTTTTGATCAATTGAATGTGTCCTTGGTGAATAACCAAGACAAAGCAAAAAATAATAATAATAATTCAACAGTAGTGTCAACACAAAAGAAGGTGCTTGTCAAGTGATTTCATGGAGTCTTTAAAACATACAGAGACAACTACTTATAAAAAAGGAAAAATATAAAAAGGCTTCATCTATGCTGAGTCAACAATGAGTCAGCAAATTGGTAAAACATTAGTAAAACAATTATTGTGATCTGTGTGACTAATGCATTTAAATATGTAAAAATTTAAAGATAAGGATGTAAATCTCCTGAATAAAATTTGAGGAGTAAAATATAAATATTTGGTATTCTTCAGTTATCTTTAAGAATAACACAAGAAAATTCAAAACACAAAATCAAAAAAGGTAAAAGAATTAGAACAAATTATGTTTTTGAAAAGTGTGGAAAAAAACTATCCACAAAAGATTTCATAAAACTGAAGAAGAAGAAACATCTTAATATAAAAATCTACAAAATATAGCAATAATAATATAAAAAATCTTAATAGCTTAAAAGGAAAAAGGAGGGTAAAAAATAACTGCACCAAACTGGCACCTATATTACCATTGTCCGGGGTGGAAAACAGCCTACTTGCGCTGGAGACCGTCTTGCCAATGTCAGCTAAGGAGCGAAGATTGGATTTCTTGGTCTGGTGGCGATGCTTCCTCAGCAAGGTGTACATGACCTTATCTTTCAGGTCAGCTTTCAAGAGACCGTTCTCAATCTGACTGTCAGTGATCATTTCTGAAAGAGAGAGACAGAGTGAATGCCAAACAGAGACAGGTAGACAGTGAGAAAGCAAAACTGGCATTAGAAGAGACCTGCCTCGTGGTTATTTTGCTTCTATAGATTTTGGGAAGCTCATTACGACCCCTTCACAACTGAGCAAACTTTTAACTAGAACTTGAAATTGGACTCTCCAAAGGAACTTGAAGTGAGTGTCAGTGAAAAAAAAAATGAAGTGAAAAAGTGAAGTGACACATTGCCTTCTATTCTTACCCTTCAGAAGCGGACATCTAATGAGGCAGTGGCTTGTGCATAAGATTGTCTGGTGGTTCCTGTAAGCATCTATTTTTATAAAAGAGGGTCAAAGACACGAGGCCTGGGCCCTTGGGCCCTTTTTGTGAATGGTTTGGCTCTTAATGGCTGATCCTTCAAATCATTTTTATCTCAAAAGGCACACTATGAGGTTGACTGAGCTTAACTCGGCCAAACTTAAGATTTGCTTTAAACTGATAATATGACTTGACACATCATGCTCTGAGTAAGAGATACGGCTGGGGATTCAAGATTAATTTGATTGGTGGCAGTGGTTACAATCTCACCAGCCATCTTTAAATCCAGAGAGCTGCAGTAAATGTCTCTTTTTTTTTTTTTAACCAATCCTCCTTCCTAAAAGGAAGCTTTTACAAAATAATCACAAGAATCACATACTTTGCTATCAGTGCACTACAGTTATTTAACGGCCACACAATTTTCATTCTGATCTTCCTCATACACTGCCTGAATTCAGTATAAAAGAAATGGCCATCCTGAATGGATGCAATCACCCATGCATCTGAGCCCAGAGTTACAGCGAGGGTTGAGAGAGGAGTGTATTAAACAGAGCTATGAATACATCCTGACATGTGAGCATTTGGATTTTGGAAACCAAATAAAAATGGGCTGTGCTGGCCGAGACCATGCATGCATATCACACGTGCTATCTCTTAGACCTTACAGTAACGGTACATTTGGAAAAGCTTTTTCTCTTAGTCTGATCTGCTCTAAAGTGTTATCTTTATGATATTTATTTTGCCCTTTGTCCACTGACAGGGTGCCAGTGCTGGTGGTAGAGCTGATGCCCTACATGAAAGCATTCTGTATGCTTCTATTACAGAAAAGGCAGGTCCATGACAGAAAAAAATGGCTCCTAAAATTTGCTCGTACAAAACCATGACTGATGCAAAATGAACATTGCATAAAACTTGTTTCACCCATTTGACAGACATCCTGTCCATACAAACAGTTTGTCAAATTGCACAGCAACACTTTATTGCCATCATGCATCTAATAAAAATGACAATACTCACAAATATCATGTTAATGTATTTCTATAATTTATTTATTTTTTTTTTTTTTTGGCCTTTGCATCAAAAGCGATTTATGATTGCCTAAATACGCTGAATCACATCATAACTTTTCAATATGAAGGCCCAAAAATCAAACTTGATTGAGGGCTGTGGGCCAAATGTAAATGTTGCATTGTGTGTGTGTGTGTGTGTGTGTGTGTGTGTGTGTGTATATATATATATATAA